TATTACTAATAGATTATTTGCAAACTATTAATACAATTTTCTTTCATTCAGTACGTACCCATAAATACATATAAATACACATAAATACACATTATAGGCCCACTTTTTTTTCATTCCTATTTATAATCTATCAATAAAAGTTTTTATTATAATTTATAAATATGAATTTACAGTAACATTACTATTATACTATTATATTTTGCTTAATTATTATTTATAAATCCAGTAATGAATACACAATATAAAATATAATTTACAAATAATAACAAATAAACACTAGAATAATATAAATAGGATGAACTTAAATGCAGATCTCCATAACCAGTGAATTGATAATCATAAGTGATTTCCAAAAACCTACCTGTGCTATCAATAGTTCTCTGATAAGTAATTGTAACATCATACAAACTATACTAAACTAAAAATTATCAATTACTAAATAGAAATAAATTTAAATATCGGTAAAAATACAATGATTTCTATTTATAGAAAGATATAATACATTCATGAAAACATTGAAACATTTAATTTAAGGTATAATTACACGAAATACTTACAAAAATTCCCTCACAATTTACACCTTACCTTTCAAACGTTATAATATGAATATTTATTCGCGTGACTCAAATATATTGTCCATATTTTGATTTAGTGTATTAATAGCCGATTGAATGCAGAATTGATAGCAAAACGGGACTTACCAGATAATACCGTACATAACAATAACAATAAACATGATGGCAATAAAAATAGGCAATGGTGTTTTTTGTCGAAAGCAATTTTATTGTTAACTTACAATATAATTGAATTGATATACATCATCATAATAGCGATAAGATTAGGATTAGAGCCACATATTATTCTGGATTTTAAAAAATAGGCAGCATTTCGATACATACGTACAGTACTATACTTTGCATTTTTGGCAGAAGTTTTAACAATTTTGATATCATTTTGAAAAGTTTTTATTGTAACAAAAACCACAATCAATATACGGGTCCTCAATATAAATGATTTCGTTTTGTATGTCATTTTAAAAAGTGTTGTAAATAAATGTATTTTGATAATTTGTATTAAAAACAGTCGATTAGTTTGTTTTTGTGTGTAATTCAAGTGTAAATATACTGGAATTCAATACTATTTTGTGATTTCAATGTCATGACTAGAAATAAATTAATAGATTATTATTTGCTTTGTTTTTACAATAAAAATGTATATTTATGTGGTGTTTGTGTGTGTATGTATATATATATATAATGAAAAATAAAATAAAAACAATAAGATTTCAATTTAAATTGATTCTCAAAACCCATACAAATATAAATGTGGTTCACAATTGATTTGTGTTTTGCTTAATAATAATTTGCAATTTAGATCATTAGTATTTTCAATCATAAGGTGTGTTTGAATTGTTTGAGATCTTTCATACTTTTTTAATCATTTTTAAATATATACTAAATTATTGTCACAATTATATAACAACTGCTTTTGTGGCATATAATTGTCAAATTCAATACAAATACTCTCGTGTCGTGTGTTGTGAAGTCAAACGCAGATTTGATTTTGGCTTTTGAACTGAGATTTTGTGTTGAATTTCAATAACACTTACGATAACTATATAAGAATATAGAGAGAGAATAGAGTCTCCAGACATAGACAGACATTACTATCAGAATAGTGTGGAATGCAGTGAATTATATCATATCTTATCAATCATTTTAATGTCATTTTTATTTGGCTTTACTCTACAAAAATGGTTAGCGATTAAGGCTTTCGATTAAATATTTGATAAATAATTTTTGGACTCAAAGTGTTTTGTTTGTTAGGAACAAAATAAAGATTTTTGTTTATATTTATTCACTTGAAAAAATTCAATGTTTTTTTCTGTTTTTGTTTGTGTCTCTCGTATCGTATTTGACGCGAAAATTAGTCCAAAAATATTACTTAGGCTTATGTCAGATGATTGTATGAAATACTTAAGGGAAACACAACACACTTGTGTCCAATGCATAAGTCATACATTCAAATGATACACTTTTTCACTAATATTTCACATGAAAACTTCATTTAATTTAATTGAGTTTTGAAATAAATTATTATTTTCAGAGATCATTATATTGTCAGTGAAAATGCGTTCAATTTGTTTTGTAATATTTATTTTCAGTTTTAATTAATGATAATTAGATTAAAAAACAGAGAAATGCTTAACGGAATAGAGAAATATAACACAACACATAACATTTGTTTGGGTGACACCCGAACCCCCTTTCAGAGGGCCAGTATTGAACCCGTGGGCGTCGAGTGTGTGGGCTATGCTATGGGCCTATTGGCGGGGGGGTTGGGGCGGACGGCCAGCCCACCCAAACGGGACGAGACACCAGCGATAGTGAGAGAGCACTTGTGCCAAGACCTGGGCTATTGGTCTGTGGTTTAGGATTAGAGACATCGCAGAGAAAGAGTGAGACAATGCGCTACAACACCACCACTACTGCACCGCCCGTTCCCCACAGATTAGACAAGTAATCATATCATCAGTAATAATAATATATATCATAATATATGTGAAGATTTATTGTTTTTGTTTTGTAAAAAAATGTCACAATTATTATAAGAACAACAGTTTTATTCACAACAAGTCGTCGATTGAAAAGTTTTGTGGGTTTTATGGCATAGATTTTTATGGGAAGATTGAAAAGCGTTTTTTGAATAAAAACTCAGATTTACAAGATTATTATTTTTTATGTCAATTAATAAGCACCGTTTTTCGTCAATAATATCAATTTAATAACTATAATTTGTTTATTTGTTAAAATGCTTTTAAAATTTATACTAAAATTACATGTAATGCTCGCATTGTTTGAAGCAATTCTTCAAAAATTAAAAAAAACCGATTATTCTTTAGGAATGTATTGTAATAATTGAAATGACTCTTCAAGTATTTACTTCGTAAGACTTTTATTTTCATTAATCACTTTTAGTTTCTAAAAATTAATATATATTTTGTTTATTTATAATATAATTTTATAAATAATTATTAAGCAAATCATCAGTGAGACAGAGCACAGAGAGAAACCAATAGAGCGTAAGTTATGTTCACTTTTAAGCAATTATATAAAGAGTAATATTAATAGCGTTTTGTTTTTTAGTTTAGACTAACTTTTGATATCATAAATTAGTGAATGATTTGTAATGCATAAACGTTTTACAATAATTAATAATAATTTAAGTTTTAAACTATGTTTTGATCCTGTATATATATTGAATTTATAATTTAGAATCCATGTCCACACCCCCCATACCCGGGGGGTAATGGACATCACATTTGGTGAGCTCTTGAAATATATGCAAAATTTATTATCAATTATAACCGAAAGTCGATTGTAAATGAAAGGCACGGCCAGAGCCTAAGTTAGAGATTTGTCGGCACCGGGATGTATGGGTAGTACCGTATACACACCCGATCCGATGAATTCAAGTATTGACTCAATTTGTTTAAAATAGTGATAATTTTTATCCATTTATTTGTGCATTAATTTACGAGTAAAGAGCACGAAATATAATGATCTAGCAATTATCTAAAAAAATCATCTGATAATGACCCGAATGTGCACTGAATTTGTTATGAATATAATTGAATTGAACCGGCTCATTGGCAACCGCCAGGGCCAATCACCGTACAATTCAATGGTATCGCAAATCACAATTGACTGAATGGGTCCTAAAATTAAATTATGCACAGAGAGACAAAAACAAACTCAATTCAATACATATTAAATGCTTTTTTAATTTACTTTTCGTTCATTTCATTTCGTTTCCTATACTCAAAATCCTGGTCTATATGTATATATAGTATTGAAATGTGTGCACAAATTAAAATTCACTTTTAATTAATATTTGTTTCGTTTTATTGTGCATTCGATACGAATTTGTGACAAAATATATATTAATATATTGATTCAAAATCAGCACTAATATGAATAGTGAGCCACTTATTGATGATATCTAATTGTATTTCATGTGTTTTGTTTGTATCAATGTCTTCGTTTACATTAGAAAATATCCGAAGACTTATGTATCATATAATTGTATGCATGTATGTGTGTATGTATGGGAGTGTGTGGGTGCCTGACATGTGATCACTGAGCAAAAAGCACCCACCTCAATGTTTTAAAATTAAAAGGAATTAACGTCTTAACCATATTAACAACGATTACCCGCTTATTATACATTTAGAACATATATTTTTATCATATCATCAAATATGTACAGTCAAATAATAATAAAAACTATTTCTTACTATTTTTTTTGTTTGTTTTTTGCGCTTTTTATGAATAATAATAGTAATAATAATAATAATTAATCAATAATACATTATACTAATAATAATCAAATATCAGGCAAAAACATCCGACAGTTTTTGACATAATATTGAAGATTTGTTTGGAAAGTCGATCATAACTATAAAGCACGCGAAGTATCACAAGATTGCGATGAATTTGAGACGACAACTGAAATGAGCCATCAATTCATGCTTTGCTCGAAATAAATAGAGTAATAAATTCTGGTTTTGTTTTCTTCATTCAATTAATTATATAATAATTCATTAATTCGCAGGAATTTGATATATTTATCATTTAATTAAGGAGTGGTTTTTCGCTCTATTAGTAGTAAATCACACTATCATTTGAATTTGAAGATTTGAAAATAAAACACAAAAATGTTTTCGCTTTTATATCTTATATAATAATAATAATATAATATATATATATAATATAATAATAATATTTATAATTAATAATTAATAATCATATCATCATTTAATTATATCCGCAATAATTAAATAACTTGTAATTATTGTATTGATTTGTTTGCGTCAAAATAGCGCTGAAAAGCACGAATAATTTGGCGTTTATTCTGATTTGCAATCATTTTATTAATTGATTGCAAATGATTGCAATCAGAAAATAATGGCATTCAATCATTGGTTTAATGTTTAGAGTTTTCATATCAATATCTTAATAATCGTCTTTTGAAATGTATGTGTGGTTTGCGTTGTGGTGTGTGTGTTGTCAACACGAATGTGGAGAATGTATGCACTGTTATGTCAATTGTTCATTGATTACACCAATTGTTTGGTCACTTCTCTCATACACAGTATATTCTCTGCAATTTGTTGATACTTTCAATTCATATCAAACATAATTAAAAACAATTTGTTGTATAAATAAAATCAGAGGACGCGAGGGATGAGAGACAACAACAGAGACGGCGAGTGAGAGCGAGAGAGAGAAGAGAGAGTGACAACAGAGAGTAACGCGAGAGCGAGGACGGGTGTGTGTGTGTGTGTGTGAGTGAGGCCTACCTTTGGTTAGGTGTATAGTGTGTTAATTAGTTTCGCCTCCAAGTAAATCGCCGGGTAATAGACTTTGGATTGAAGAGGGAGTGCTCCTGTCCTGAGCGTTGAGAGCACTGGGAGCGCTCCATAAGTTATTGCCGGAGTTAGAGAATGGCCACAAACTCATGCCCGATGTGTTCCAACCCGGAGAGGTAGTACTCGAGTCCATCTTAGATGGCGTCGAGTTGGAGGTTCCGGCGTATTGGAGAGAGCTGTTGGCGTTCCGGTAGAGATGACCCGATGACTGGTTCACGCCGTTCGACGCGCCGCTCGTTTGGCCGTTGTTTTGGGACCAGTTTAGCGGATTGGATGCGATTTGTTGACCGCCGCCTGAGATGAGCTGCAGGAGCTGCTGAACCTCGGCCTCCTGCGGGATGTCCGCCAGTATTGATGTGTTGCCTAACACGCAGTTGTTCAGAGCTGACTGAGCTTTGATCGCCTCCTCGCGCGTTGAGTATCGGGTCAGAGCTAAGCCGTGGTTTAGGAATAAGTGGAACAGTTGGAGGGGCCCGTGTTGGAGGCACAGGGTCTTCAGTGTCGAGCCATCGATCTGCGCACAGAGAGAGGAATGGGTTAGCATTATGTCAGCACTGGGAGGCGGAAGGGAGGGGACAGACCTGTGGCGTAAGGTTGCGGAGAAGGAGAAACTCGGAGCCGTTCTGACGATTGTCTGCATTCCAGAGATTGTGAGCTGAGCTCACTGTCGGATTGACGGGCGCAGAGTTGGGCAGAGTTGTGGCCGGACTCTTGATCTGAGGCTTCAACCCGGGAGGCGGACGACTCGTCTTGGAAACCGTTTGTCCGCCGCTCCACAGGTTGTCAGTGCATGAGTTCAACGCGAGCTCAGCATTGAGTGCTCCCCAATTGGACGGGGATTTCGGGTTATTCTTAGGTTTATTACTGTCGACAGTATTATAAATGTGCGAATTTGAAGGCGGAGTGAAAGCCCACGTACTCGACGACAACGACAGGAGCGAGTCGGCGGCGGCAGAGTTAGGCGTTCCCGGACTCAGCTTCGAGGGCCAGTTGAAGAGCGGGTCTTTGATTGTGTTGATTGAGAGCGGAGAGCGATTGACACTTCCCGGAGTAATGGTCGGGTCGTCCTCAATGCTCTTGAGACTCGAGTTCCCTTTCCAGGGCTTTCCCGGTTCGAACTCCGGCACCAAATCGTTCAGATTGTAGGCGTCCGGCATCGACGCCGACAGAGAGTTCGGCATATCCTTCAAGTCGTTGTGCTTTAGGGTCGCACTGGAAAGCGAGTTGACTGTGACGTCCGACGGCCAACCACTAGACTCATCGTTTTGGGCAAACCCTGTCCAGTTCGGGACATCACTTCTGGATAGGCTTTGCTTAGGCAATGGTCCCGGAGCTCGACTGAACTCATTGGGCATCATATTATTGACATTGACTTTATTGTCGTCTTTAAACGTCGGTTTCCATGTGGTCTGAAAGCGGGACAACGATTGAGAGCCGAGGTCTCTGTCGTTGTTTATCACAAGTGAGTTGTCTGGTTGTGGACTCTTGAAGAAGTCGTTACTGGAAGTCTGCTGTGAATGCATTGTCGGTGTGTTGGCGTTGGTGCCGGTGTTCATAGGCTGCCCGGGAGGTTGTGTTTGCATTTGTTGGCTCTGGTGCTGCTCTTTCAGGAATATCGCCTGTTGTGCAGCGATTTGGTTCTGGACATTAAGAATACGTTGCTTTGTTTGAGTGATTTGTACATTAATGGTCGACTGGAGCGGCACTGCGGACGCGTTTGTGGCACCGGTTTTGCTTAAGTGCTGATTCGCCGAACTTTGCAAATGATTTAAGGAGTTTATGTGTTGTAACAACTGATGCAATAGATAGAGGGTTGGCGGCGCCAGAGGTTGGTTCAAGATCTGTGTGCGTACATCGGTATGGTTAGTACCCGTTCACTGTCCACATGTCAGTGCAGTGCCACATACCTGTGCATTGAGATGTCCGGCCTGAACTGCCAGTTGAATTTGTTGTACCAAAATTCGGAGATTAGCTGTACCTATATTGGATTGATTGGACTGTGCGCTACCACCCATACGACTTCCATTCGGGTTCGATCCTAAGGCACTTTGAACCTGATTGGCCTACAGAGAGAGCACAGGGAGGGTTAGACAGTGCCGACGCGATCAGAGTGTACACTACTTGTGTGAATGACTGTGTCTGAGCTGTTGGTTGATGTGGTGGCGGCAGAATTGATCCCAAAGGGTTTCGGCTAATACTGGAAAGACTAGGATTGGCAATGCCTGATGTGTTGCTAAGTAGACTAGGAGTATTGCTCGAACCCATCCCTGACCCCTACACCCGGACACCAAAATGTTAGACATCATTGGTTCATAAGGATTAGGCATTGGCGGCACACCATACCTTAAAACGCTGTAAATTCTCCATATCCATGGCATTGGAATCGCGTGGGGAAGAGTTCTTCAGTTCGTCTATAAGGTAAGCATTTCGTTAGAAAACATTTGTCAAAAAAATGTGTCACCAAATCAGACAATCCAATGACTCACTGATTGCTTCCTCGAGTTTCATAGAACTGTTGCGAAGAGCGTTCTCGACGTCGTCTTTCTGTTCATTGCATTCAAACGTTTCATTAATTCATTTTCAATCACAAATCATTGCAAATATTAGTGAAAAAGTGTAATCAATTTCCGAAACGAGTGCTTTAGTGTAAAGTAGGAATGGGTTAGAAGGGGAGGGGAGGGATAGGGTGTAATGAGTAGTAGTAGTAGTAGTCGTGTCCAATACCTTGAAGCCCATGTCAGTAAGAATGCGGAACTGTTTACTCGCCCATATAATATCTCTGGACAAAGGCTTGCCCTGTTTAGGTCCGCCCCAACTGCTCGTATCGATCTGACCGTCACTCCAATTGGAGTTCTGATTATTAGTTGCCTTTGGCTTCGCTGCCCAATAGGCCAGTGGACTAGAGTTCGAAGACTCGGCCCAATTCGGTGTATTCGGCACCCGATTCATGCTATTCATGCCTCTGGCCTCGGCGTCAGACCAGACCGAACCGGTAGTGCTGTTTGCGGGCGAATCGCGGGGCGGATGAGTAGACGCCTCGCTCCACGAGTTGCCACGAATGGCCGGATTGGGCGGAGACGGTTTGCCCCAATTCTCGCCGCCGTTCTTGCCAGGCATGGGCGCACCGGCCGGCAATCGGATCATTCCAGGACTAGACGGAATCATTGCAGACATTCCACTCGAGTTATTGCCGTTGGGGTTCGGGAGCTGGTTGTGCACCGCCTGCTGCTGGAGCAGAGGGGCGATGGGTTTGGCGGAGGCCGCCGCAGCAGCAGCAGCAGCCGCCGCCGCCGCCTCGGCCTTCCAGTGCGACACCTTTCCCTGGCGGACGGGGTTACCCCAGACGGCCGTCCCGTCGTCGTAGTTACCGCCGCGACCGTCGCTCGAGTCTTTGTCCCAACCGGAAGAGTGCGAGTCTTTCTTATGGGTCGACTCCGGAGCCCACGTCCCGAACGACTCGTTGTTGTTGTTGTGGTTGATGTTGTTGTTGCTGCTGCTGCTGTTGCTGTTGCTCTTGGTCTCAGCCCACGTCGGCTCCGATCCGTTGGAATCGTTTTGTTCTGCAATAACAGGCATTCATTCAATACAATTACAGACACATAGAGAGAGCGATGGCTTTGTGGTTAGTGTTAAGTGACGGTAAGGCCTACCATTGTTATAGTCAGACCAACTCGAGCTCTGATTGGCTTTGGGTCTGCCGGTGTCGACGTGTCTGCCCTCTGAGTTGTGTCTCGAGTTGCTCTCCGGGTTGTGTTTATTATTATTATCTGAGTTGTGATTCCACTGCATATTACTATTCGGGTTATTATTGTTCCCGTTATTCGTATTACTATTATTGGACACATTGGGCGACCAGTTGGCCGATGTGTTTGGGTTGGCATTGTTTGCTTGAGGAACGCCCGTCCAGTGATTGCTGGAGTCCTCGTCCTCGCCCCACGTGCCACCGATATGAGTAGAGGGAGTGTGGTGGCCCCAGGGCTGCGCCGACGTGGACCCCCCAGCGGGCGTAGGCGTCGGTCCTTTGGTTTTGTGACGGACGGTATTTTCCCAGATCTCAGTGCCTGAACTTGTGCTGCTCTTCCACTGCGAACCACCGCTACTGCACTCTCTTGGACTTGACTGAGGGGACGGAGGGAGTTTCCAGGGGGACTCCTGGTTTATCACCTGTTACCGGGGTACGCAAGGGGTCACATCAAAGTGTTCAACAATTAGCTAATGCTATCAAGTTTCGCAATAATTTATACTATATATAAGTCGTGCACTGATATGATAGCCACGGATGGCATAACTAATACATACAGTTATTCCCCAGTTGTCAGAGACGAGAGCCGTGTCCTTAATTTCAGCGTTAATTTGTTGGAAATCACTATTGGTTTGTCGTTTCGTGGAATTATCATTATTGCCAAACACACTGAGATCATGGTTTGGTCCATTCGGTCCATTGTTCAGTCCTTTGCCGGCCGCCTGAGCCCATGAACTCGAAGGCTTGGGAGATGTCGACAGAGTTTGATCACAGGTCGCAGTCATTTGTCGCGAATTATTTGGCCAATGATTAGCACTTGTAGTGTTTGCCGGACCACTGCCCCACTCGGCAGACGATGAATTCATTGGTGGCAGAGCTCCCCAACCACTCGACCCACTCGTCAGTGACTCTTCACCGCCGCCGTGAAGACCCATTGCTTCCGATCAGTAGTCAGTCGTATGTGTGACACGCAATGGGTTGCCGTTGATAACCAGACACTCGTTATATTCAATACCACTTCGGAGACTAACGGTATATCAATGTTTGCTATAATGGGTTCACTTCTTGTGATCAAATGATGTCTGCGTTGGCGGTGACGATGAGGTCACGTATACAGCGATGGAGTAGTGTTTGAGAGCCAGTCGTAAACCAATAGGAAAGCCATTCATTAGATGCGAGAAATGAAAACAAGAAAATAAAAACAAATATTAAAACCCAATGTAAGACCAGTTCATCGATACGTCAATAGACGCGCATTGGTGTCAAGACACCAATGAGTGGCAAAGTGATGGACTAAATGCTAAATACGGTCTCATATACGGAGACAATAATAAACAGTGGATTAGTTGGTCTCGTAATACAGTGTATAATACGAGTGATTGTGTATTGAATGGCAAACGCATTGAATGAGTCGGCGCTCACAGCCTATTGCCTGTATTGCGAGCACTGATGGGCACTGATATGATGGCTATGCCTGTAATGATGCCGTAGTACTCACTGTACAGCGAGTCTGCAACTTATGTTACATGTATTGTAGAGCACAGTGCGATCTGCCAGTGCTCTACATTGTACAGCACAGGCAGGCATAGCACGCATAACAGCCCCTACCGTACCACTCAAATACATGTCTGCAATACATAACATACACAAAAACACAGCTATATTTGCACTGAATATATACACCGAGAAATACAATCGCTATTCACACGTAAACATCAATACAAACAAATGCATCGATGCTTGCGATACGGATAGCTCACGGAGGTGTCGATCGCACACTAAGTCCTAAGTCCCTCCAGAAGTCACATATCGCGGTCGCCATGAACTGCACGCTAAGTCACCACTCAATCGCTGCACCACTGATAAGACACCACCAATTGCGAACACCATACAGACCCGGGTGTTGGTGAAGGGCAGTGACACTCACGCCACTGGACATGGCAGTGGTGCACACATAGATGAACTAGCTCATATAACTATTAGTGATATACTTTTGGCACTCGTATATACATGATAGATGGCTATGAATAATAGGCTGTAGTGGTGGTGGTGGTGGACAGGGATGGTAGTGGTGGTGAGCTCGTGTGTGGTGACCCCGCGTGGTGTGCAGGGTATGGTTGACTTACCGTCACAATCACAGAAACGATGACCTAATCACCAGATATTGATTCATAACATTTTGGACAACGATATGGCCGTCAGATTTGAAGCCATTTTGATAGTTTGTGTTCAAAACGATTCATTCAATGCATTCAATGCATACATACAGTGCTATTCAATACTGGAATAACACACAGCGCTGTCTGTCAGTGCTATGCGAGAGAGTGAGAGAGTGTGCCTCCCATTGGCTAACCATTCCGTACCAAAACCTGTTGTCGTAGTGTTGTCACTACCAGTGCCAACACATACAGTATACCCAATATTACACACACACACCAGCCATACGCTCCCCCATACACTCTCCATATACTCCACATTCATGAGTGTATTACAGTCAATGGGTTGCTATCGGGGCTTAATGTGCATACAATGTGTACTCTAGTCAGGCATCATATCTATGTTTTTATCTATTACTCTCATCAATTGCTTTCAGAGTTTGTTAGGTACTGATATCACCTAGTACATCGTTTTTATACTCATATCCTAGCATATTCCCACCTTGCACATCCTAAGTCCACTTACGTTGCCTGCATGTAAGGTATGGTGGAGGTGTCTATTGAAAAGCATTCAAGTTTTTTGTTGAATTACAGTGTAGTCTCGTAATAGATATGTTTCACATACTTTGGTATAGTGTCTGAAAATGACTTAAATGCTGGCTTATAAATGATCCAGAATATGTGTTATATAACTTATAAACATTATTTTTATTTCTTTACTTCATTGCGTGAAATCAGTGATGACAATAAATTGTGCACAAAGTTTGTGGCAGTGTTTGGTGTATGTGTAGATTGGGTACAGTTTTAATGAGTCTATACTTTCGTATGTCTGTCCAAAGGGTTTGTCTCTGCCTTACAGTAAGCTTTCAAATGATGAATACGGCGCTTAAGCTCATGAATAGTGTATTTCAATGGGAATTAATGGGAATAGCACTACATTCACACAACCAGTCAATTTACTATTACTGGATTCCCAAATCTATTTGCAAACACTTTATATCCGATTCTTATATTCTCGCAGACATTAAAAACTATTTATAATTCTTGACATTAAAGCAATTGTTGTATTAGTGAATGACTATTATATGGGCTGAGACTTGTAGAAGCTGCCTGTCCTTTATTTGTCTAATCCGTTGCTTATCATAAACTAGTGTTTTTTAATCCCATTTAATTCACACACACTTTACAAACGAGTTATTAATTTCCATTGAAATGGCTTTTCATAGCGGAATGCATGCGATTATATAAGTGAGACACGAATTGAGCAAAACTTTTCAGAGTATAAGAGACAATATTTTTGTATTTATTAAAAGAAAATCTAATTTTCTGAACGGTTCCTGACTTTAAGCTGAAATAATTATTAGTTATGTAAAGTCTTTTGCGAAGTTTTGCTTCAATGTTATGAGTCATATAGTGATTGATTTGCATGATATGTATCCCTTTGTTGTGTGATCTTTGAACACAAATATCATAATAAGTGTGTAATTAAATTAATTACTCGTTTTTATGCGAAGTTTTGCTTCAATGTTATGAGTCATATAGTGATTGATTTGCATGATATGTATCCCTTTGTTGTGTGATCTTTGAACACAAATATCATAATAAGTGTGTAATTAAATTAATTACTCGTTTTTTGTCGTCAATACACTCCAGTTCCTTACCCCCATTGCCCGAGAAAAAAGTTGTCATACAGTATAGACTTATTGCTATTATGTTTTGCGCACAAAAAAAACTTATTTTGTTTGTACAATACCTACAATACCTGTCGTCGAGATTTTTTACACTTCAATACTGTTTGACTCCGACCCCCGGCTTCTCCTGGTTTTGCAGTCAACCCGTCATTTCCAGTCTTTTCACTCAATACAGTATATAACTTCGCAAAAGACTTTACATAACTAATAATTATTTCAGCTTAAAGTCAGGAACCGTTCAGAAAATTAGATTTTCTTTTAATAAATACAAAAATATTGTCTCTTATACTCTGAAAAGTTTTGCTCAATGTTATGAGTCATATAGTGATTGATTTGCATGATATGTATCCCTTTGTTGTGTGATCTTTGAACACAAATATCATAATAAGTGTGTAATTAAATTAATTACTCGTTTTTGTCGTCAATACACTCCAGTTCCTTACCCCCATTGCCCGAGAAAAAAGTTGTCATACAGTATAGACTTATTGCTATTATGTTTTGCGCACAAAAAAACTTATTTTGTTTGTACAATACCTACAATACCTACAATACCTACAATACCTACAATACCTACAATACCTGTCGTCGAGATTTTTTACACTTCAATACTGTTTGACTCCGACCCCCGGCTTCTCCTGGTTTTGCAGTCAACCCGTCATTTCCAGTCTTTTCACTCAATACAGTATATAAGACTATACTCGAGAAATGGATTCAAATTTGCATTTTCTGTGTTAAAAATGTGTTTTAATGCATTGATTATTATATAATCCGCAACTCATTACTAAGTTAATTTTCTACGAGTTTTGGTTTATTAAACATGAGATAAATCTAATTATTTGTTGGTTTTAAGCCTGTATTTGATTGGTGTTTATGAGATAATGTACTGAATTTGTTATATAATATAGAGTATACTTATTATACACTAAATGGGGCCCAATATGAATGGGAAGGTAGAGACTAGGCTTGTATTCCGGAGACATGGAGTCGTATTTCCTTTACAATGGAGAAAAACTTTTCCAAAACTATGGTTGAGTTAAGGAAGAGACGGGTGCTTCTCATACGAAAGGCTTCTCCAACTGAAACACACAGATATTCCAGCATTTGTTGCCTTTACTATTCGTTTCCTGTGTATTATCTCACATTTATTTATGTTTAAGTGTGTAATAAATAAATAGATTTACATTTAGGAGTATTAGTATTGGTGCTACAATTACCTCATGAATAATATCATATGACAGTGTCACATATGTTTGGTAGATATTAAATTATTTAATAATTCAATAAATTACAAGAATATTCTACTGATACTTACTTGTTACATTTTCACTGGTACCACAAATAAATATTGAAATATTAAACTCTAAAGAATATTCTAGTTACGAATCATGACCAATAACTTAAATTTTCAGAATTTACAACTTAAATTATTATTATAATTCGATTGAAATTAATCTATCATTTATAATAAATTAAATGATTTAATTGAATATAAGAAATCATTATTTTATACTAAAAGTTTAATTAGATATATTTAGACTTATAAAATCAAAAATTTTACTGTAACACCCTTGTTCGTGCTTATATTATGAACTGTATTGGTAATGCTCTTAAATTTCTTATCATTTAATTGAATAATATTAGTACAGATCCTTTATATGAATTAAAAGTTAATATTTCAAAAATGCCTCATATCACTGTACAAATTACATCAAATTGATTGCTTAATTAATAACATTTAATAACATGATTATGTGATAAGAAAATTGTGAACAAACAGATTAAATAAACATAAATGGTTGAGCAAGGTAATATTCTAGCACAGAATACAGTATAAGAGTGTTGCTGTCTATGTTGCAATACTTTTAGCGCACTTTCGTTTGAATGTATTGTCTGCCAATAACATTGAGAAATACAATGAAACACATCTGACAGCCGTATGTCTATACTTTTGTCAACGTCAGTAAACTATCGTTTAATATTATGTGAAGGATTATTTCAGGTAGGTTTAACTCACATGTTAACTATACGCCTACTATAAAATATAGTTATTAATCATATTGACAAACTATGCTGTGAATATTGACTTTTTGCGACTCCAGGATACTTTTGTTTTCAAGTAAGTTATTAGTCAACAGCAATAGCGACAAATGCAGAAGTTATGATTAACTATAAAGAAATAGTAATTTTAATAGCCATTTTTGGTCTAGGTGTCGGTATGGCCTTCACTGTAGAGAAAGCTCTGTCATTGGGGAACAGCTCTTAGTCTGTCGCCAACACCAGTCCCAATGAATGCCCCTCTGAATAGCCTACCAGTCCTGTTGACACGTTTGCAAACTTTTTCAAAACTTTTTTAACTCTCGGATAACAAAATAGTTTTCGTTTCTGACGGAGAGATCACACGATTTGTCTGTGATTTGATGTGATTTTTGTGTCAACACATCCCTCCTCTGAACACAATATCCCTTCTCTTTATTAATGATTACTTTACGTCACTTCACACCAGTCTCGCGAAGTCTCCCAAACCTACTCCTCCGTCAAAGAAGTCAACGCGTTATACGTTTGGTTCACTCGACACAAGTGGTTAACATGTCTTCAACGAAGTGGTATATGAATCAAACGCTGGATGAAAGCGATCCCCAGCTCTTCCAACTGATCCGGGATGAGAAGAGGCGCCAGAAGCGCGGTCTCGAAATGATTGCCTCCGAGAACTTTACCAGTCTTTCGGTGCTCCAGAGTCTCAGCTCTTGTCTCCATAATAAGTACTCCGAAGGATATCCCGGACAGAGGTATGTCTTCGTGCGGTCTTTATAGTAAAATGTATCTTAATTGAGACTTTGAACTCCAGTCTAGAGAGCCTTCGAGTGATATATGAGATAATTATTTGTCTAATATTTCATAAGATTTTCTCAATCAATAACTATAAGACGGCTATTGAATGAATGCATTGAATATATTTTCCATAATTATTATCTCAAAGTATAGAATAATATTTTTGATATTCAATACAAAACCCCATATTTTCTGTTCGTTTTATTTGATGTTAGAAATGTAGACGTGATTTGGAAATTAAATATCACTTGATTTAGCATTTCGACGAAAACTTATATATATAAAGTTATGTAACAGTAATAGTTGTCAAAAACTTGTTTTTAACTTAAAAACTAGAATTTTATGCTTTTTTTACTGGAATTTGAGTCGAATTCTTGTGAAAAACAAATGATTTCCACGTTTTATGAATAGATATTATGGCGGAAATGAAGTGATCGATCAGATCGAGAGATTGTGCCAAAAGCGAGCCCTCGAGACGTACGGCTTGAATCCGGAGGAATGGGGTGTCAATGTGCAGCCCTACTCGGGATCGCCCGCCAACTTTGCCGTCTACACGGCGCTGGTGGGCCCGCACGGGCGCATTATGGGCCTGGATCTGCCCGATGGCGGACACCTCACTCACGGCTACATGACTGAGAAGAAGCGCATTTCCGCCACTTCTATATTCTTCGAGTCGATGCCATACAAAATCAATGTCGCGACAGAACTCATCGATTACGACGAACTCCAGCGAAACGCTAAACTCTTTAAACCCAAACTAATCATCGCTGGCATCAGTTGTTACCCAAGAAATCTGGATTACAAGCGCTTCAAACAGATCGCGTCGGAGAACAGCGCACTCTTGATGGCGGATATGGCGCACGTGAGCGGTCTGGTGGCCGCCAAACTGGTGCCCTCGCCCTTCGAGTACTGCGATATCGTCACCACCACTACCCATAAGACGTTGCGGGGACCGCGCGCCGGCATTATATTTTACAGGAAAGGCGTTAAATCTGTGTCCAAGACGGGCGAGAAAGAGCTGTACGACTTCGAGGATAAGATAAATCAGGCGGTGTTTCCCGGCCTTCAGGGCGGCCCTCACGACAACTCCATCGCTGGTATCGCCACAGCCATGAAACAGGCGGCCAGTCCTGAGTTTGTCGAATACCAGAAACAAGTGGTGAGTAATGCCAAGACATTGGCCACAAGCCTGCAGTCGAAGGGCTATAAGTGTGTGACCGGCGGCACTGACAACCACTTGGTTTGGGTGGACCTCAGACCTAAGGGGCTGAACGGCGCCAGAGCTGAGAGGATTTTGGAGGAAATCTCAATCGCTTGCAATAAGAACACAGTTCCGGGCGATAAGTCTGCGCTGAATCCCAGTGGCATCCGATTGGGAACTCCGGCGCTCACCACCCGAGGCTTGAAAGAGGCGGACATCGAGAAAGTGGTTGAGTTCATAGATGAAGGTCAGAGCGCACCCACCCTTTTGTAAAGTAATATCTAATTCAATGCATTCAATTCAGGTCTCAAATTGGCGCAAGAAATCAAAGCCGCGTCGCCCGGCGTTCTGCTCAAAGACTTCTTGTCGACTATGAATACCGAGAAGTTTCGCTCAAAAATCCAATCTCTGAGAGGAAATATCGAGACATTTGCCGAGAAGTTCCAAATGCCTGGATATGAGGACTACTAAAACCCATGGTTTCCGTGGCGCTCAAGAACTCCGAAAATAGGGAATAGTTTTATACTTTTTTGATAAGTTGTCGC